TTTACACAAAAGCAAACTGAGGCTGCTGTAACTAGTGTCTCCGCACAGATGACTCCTAAATGTAGATCTGTACCTCAGCCATCCTCAGAGCTCCAGGCCTCAACTTCCAGCTGTCTGCAAGACATCTTTCAGGTCATCCCAGCAGCAGATGCTCTATGGCCAAAGTTGCATGTAGTCATTCCTTCTTACTTTTTTTCCCTTCCTTCCCAATGCACAACTTCTTTGAGTAGTCAAGGCAGCTTAGGGCAACTTGGTGATGCAGTGGGAAGAACACTTGTCCTGAATTCAGGAAGACTTGTGTTTGAACGTGATCTCAGACACTTATTAGATGTGAGAAACCTCTTGTTTCAGATTCCTCATCTGTGAAATGGGAATAGTCATAGCTCCTACATTCCAGGGTTGTTGTAAGGATCAAATGGGATAATATTTGTCAAATTCTGAGCACAATAGCTGTCATGTAGTATGTGCTATATAAAGGTTAGCCATTATTATTATTATTATTATTATTAGTAGTAGTAGTAGTAGTAGTAGTAGAAGTAGTAGTAATAGTCGTCAACAACAACCATTTATTAATCATTTACTATGTGTTGGGCACCATGCTGGACAGAAGGAAAGGTAAAAACACAAGTCTTATGGGGGAAGCCACATACACATGACTTCATGCATACAACTATGTAAAACTAGAGTATCTGCAGGGTAAGTTGGAGATCCTCACAGACAGAAAGCATTAGTATGGAGGGGATGGGAGAAGGTGGGATTTTAGCTGACTTGAAGGAAGCTGGAGTGATCAGCTCTGCTCCTTAGGTATAAAACACTGGGGCCTTGTTCACCCCTCTTCTTCCCTTTCCCTTCCCTCGGCAAGCAGTAGGCAGGTCCTAGCAAGTCTCCCTCCATTCTCTGCATTCTGCTTTCTGGGCTTCCATTCCTCTACTGATTATATCATCCTCCCGTGGCTCTGTAAGCTCTTCCATCTGGGGGTTCTCTGAAATGCTGCCGTCCTCTCCTCATCCTTGGTGGCCTATCCCTGAATACAAGATCTCGTTTTTCCACGTTTGCCACACAGGCTCCATCCAGTCTGTTGGGAACCTTCTTTGCTTCTCCTGATTTCAGGAGGTGACCAGGCCAACACTTGGCCAGCTGGTCAGCAGATGTCCCTTCCCCTTTGATTGCGTAATTCCTTGATAACATTTTCTATTATTGTTATTATTAATTATTGTCATTTTTACTCCCCTCATTAAATATAAACTCTGTGAGAGCGATGTGTTTTCTATCAATCACATGTCACGTGCCCAGAATAGTGTTCAGGCCACAGTGAGTATTTCATAAGTATTCTTCAAATTGCACCTACTGTGTGACACAGGCCAAGGAAAGCCATATGTAGTAATGAGATGTTTGACGTGGTATCCACAGAAGCCTTCCCCAACCCCACTGAATTCAAGTGCTTTTCCTCTGTTAATTATTTCTTATTCATATTTATATACACGTATGTATATGTATGTACATATACTTGTCGTAGTTGTTTACATGTTATCTCCTCCATTAGACTGTAAGCTCCTTGAGGGTAGAGACTGTCTTTTACTTCTTTCGTATCCCAAGTGCTTAGCATAGTGCCTGACACATAGTAGCTATTTAATATGTGTTTATTGATTAGTAGATTGATTGATGTGGAGCCAGAAAGACATCAGTTCAAATCCTACCTCATATACTCATAGATTCCCCCCTCCCTGAGCCTCAGTGTTTTCCTCTGTAAAATGGAAAGGACACCAGGAGGGCCAATGAGCCGATGGATTTCACGTACTTTGCCAACTTTCCAGTGCCACTGATATGTGAGCCGCCATTTGCACTCCCCTCCCCATCCCTAACCAGCAGCCGCCATACACAGTCATTACAATAAGCCGCTTGGCAAGTTCTGCCTGCTTATCTGCACCCCAGCCATACTGCCAGCCCCTGAAGAACATGGAAGGGCCACTTCATTCAGATGGAAGTTGAATGAGATAGCCCTGAGGTCCTTCCAACCATCCATGGTCTTTCTGTTTCTGTGGCTTTCCTTCCTTCTGAAGTATTCCCTAACTCCTATGACACTCAGTACTCTCCCTTCTCTGGGTTTCTCCTGGATGTGGGTGCTTGGGTCCCCCAGGCACATCTATTACATATTCTCTTAGGATCACCCAGTTTTCTGAGGTGAATGGAACCTAGAGTTACCTTCATTTTACAGATGGTGAAACTCCCTTCTTAGGGCATTAACTTCAGGACAACAGGGTCTTCTGTGTTTGCCTTTCTCTCTTTGAATCTGCAGTGGCTAGAGGAATGGCTGGCACATAGTAGGTGCTTCATAAATACTTCTTACTAATTTGAGTGATCAAGACTCAGAGGAATGAAATGACTGCTAAGGCCACAGAGAGCCAGGATTCTGATCTAGTGTTTGTGGCTTTCATTCCAGTATTTCCCCACTACTAATGATGGCTTTTGTCCTTCAACTGTTTCACATACCTTTAATGCCACTTCCCTTTCTTCAAAGGCAAGGCCCATTTTCCATATAGCTCTTCTGTTTTCCACCATATTTGCCCAATGAATTGGTTGTTTGATTTGGAGTTTCTTTGGAGGAATATGGGCCCTGAAATCACTTCCTACTAATGCTTGGCGGTGACTCTCCAGCATGACATCCCACCCTGGGCCTTAGGGGTCAGGGTGCCTTGGGGTGAACCCCATGGAAAGAGACCTCCTTTGCCCACTTAGCCACCCCTCACCCCAGGCTTTAACTTTTAAAGGATCCTTTTCTATCTCTTCCAGCACAGCTCACAACAGGGCCATTAAATCTCAGACCATAATTTTAGAGCAGTTAATGGGCCTCAGGACAGCTGAGCTTGGAACACAGACCCAGGCAGGAGCTACAAATTACATGAGTCAGGCTAAAAGCTGCGTCAATATTGGCTCCCTTTAATAGTTCCCCATGGAAGAGGAAATCTCACTCAGAAATGTCACCTTTCTCTCAAACACTATCCTGAGGTCCAAGGTTAGAAGTCTGTGGAAAGACCTTTGTTCCCCCATGAAGTTAAACCCAAATGGTCTGAGATCTTCAGAATTGAACTTAATAAATTCTTAAATAAAACTTAATAAACAAACTTAAATGGGTGAAAGAAAACACAGCCCTTAAAGGTGTGTTTGGGGGTTTTCCCAAAGTATTTCATATTTTGTTTCCTCATGATCCTTTTTCAAGGGTGCTTTTGCTGAAGGTTTATGGAATAGCTCATTAGGCTACAGGAAGAGAGATGTGATGTACCAGACCAGGGACATGACAGTCTTACTGTGTATATCCTGACATCCTGTCTTAATCAAATAACTCCAGGGCCATTGGTTTCACCTCTGCATGGAGCACTGTAGGAAGGACATAAAGAGGCTGGAGCACAGCTACAGGAGGGTAGCCAGGTTGATGACAGGACTCTGGGTCAAGGCATGTGACAGTTAGTTGAAGGAATGACTTCCACGCTAACAACAATGACAACCAATAAAATACTACAAGGCTCTGTGTCGCCTCTAGCCTCCAGTCTTGATTCCTCTGTCAGAGACTTGGAGCCCTTCCCACTCTGGCTAGGACCTACCTGTAAGATCTACAATCTTCTTACATGTTCCAGCCAAGCTGGCCTCCTGGCTGTTTCTCACATACAAGATTCCACTTCCCAGCACTATGGTTTACACTGGCTTCTTGTCATGCCTGGAATATATTCTCTCCTCATTTCCATCTCATAGACTCTTGAACTCCTTTCAAAGCACACCTTGAAGGTGATTTTCTCCTACATAAAGTGCTTTTTTAAAACATTTTGTTCTGAGATACCCCCTGCCCGCTCTCAGCTAACAATGAATCCTGAAATTGCTGTGTCTATATTTTGGATGAAGTTTGCCCATGGCTCAGATTTCAACTTGCATTTGAATGGATGGCCTCCAGAGCTTGTCCAAGAGTACGGATATCTGGGATGGTCAGCACAAACAGAGAATGAATTTGTCACAGGGCAGAAAAGGAGGCAGAGAGCTTGTTTCCTGACTCTAAGCTTCCTGTGGAAGGACCAACTTTTCAACATAAATGTCTTACTGGCACTGATGTATATCTGGGCAATAAAGAGGTATACGGGGGTCATGACCAGGCTGCCACATATACTCAATGGGTAGCTCCGTAGAAGAGCAAAGCAAGCCACCAAGGAGCCAGATCACCAAAGAGACGATGAGCTGGTTACACGGCAGCTAGTGCATGACCTTGGTGTCCTGGTAGTCACTCCGCAATATCAGGAGAAAACAAGGAAGGCCTCCAATACAATGGCTGATCACCACTGATGAAATCTGAAGAGAAAGTGACTAAGAGGCCCACAGAACCAAGAGTCAGAACAGCCCATGCTACCATCTGTACTGTCGGAGGTAAATGCTGAAGAGATACGTCACAGACCCATCATCTGAGAGAATATTTTGTATTTGTGTAGATGCATGCATGCAATTTCTTTTCATAGAAAGGAAGCTCCATGAGGACAGGAACAATTTTATTTTCGTCCTTATTTTCTCAGTGCCTAGCAGAATGCTGGGCCTACGAGAGGAACTAAATAAATTCTTGCTGATTGATCAGATAAGAAGTAGATGGGACATGACCACTGTGATAATATTTGAAGCCCTTTCACCTGGAGGAATAAGCCTTGTTCTCCTGGGTCTTGGAGGGAAGTATTTAAGTGTGGAGTCCAAACAAAATGAGGCATGGAATTATGAACTAATCAAGGGGAAAGGGCTAGATGCTTTTGCTCTTGGAAGGTCTTCCCCTCCCACCACACTAAGGTCTTTAACCATTGGTTTCCATAGCTGGGTTTCAGCATTTGCAATCGATGTGATGACCCCTGACTTAATCTCCAATTGGCTACTTGAGCCTTTACTGAGCTGATCACTCATCTATGAGCCTCAGAGCTCGGAAGCTAACCTAGACCACTTGCACAATTACTGATCTCTTTGCCTAGTGAGCAGTTAACAGCCCTCGAAGTCCCCTTGTTGCTTCTGTGGTTACTGCACCACTATCTGCTCACTGAATATCAGTTGAACATTAACATGCCCACAGGCCAACCATACCGGATTCTGATGAAGGCATGACCAGTCTACTGAGAGATGTGCCTGCCAAGCCGGCAGTGGGCACATCTCCACTGCAGCTTCTGCTTGGTGGCCTGATGGACCTTCTGTCCGGGATTTTTTCCTCTCTACCGAGCCTCGCCTTCACCCTTGCTTCTCTTCTACTGAGTTTCAAGGGAAGCTCTCCCTGCATATGGAATAAATTGGGGGACAAAGGCTATTGGATAGAGTGAGCCCTCCCTCCATGTTTCTGATAGGACAACAATCCCACATCTGTGCTCCAGATGGGTACCAAGGGAGGTGAGTATGGCTTCACTAAAGACTAGATAGAAGTAATCCTGCTTTTCTCTCCCATGTGACAGATGCCTTTCATTTCCTCTATTGTTTATTTGTTTGATCATTTGAGTGACAGAAGGTGGAAAACCAAGTCGTAGCAGTTGGATGCTAAAGCAGATCCAATTCCTGATGCTGTTTTCAGCAGCCGAGTCCAGAGGCCAGTTCTCCAACTGATCAAGGCCCCTCCCTTCTCCTTTTCTTCCATTCTCTGCAAGCTGTGGGCCTCACTGCTTATTAGCTCACAAGAGGAGGTCCAGGGCAGAGTGAGACAAGAAGGATTTTGTCACTTCTCCTACTCATGTGTTTAAGAAAAGGATCGATAATGTCACCAAAAATAGAGATTGGACTTGTTTTGCTTGGTCAGAGAGGGCAGAAAAGGAGGAACAAGGTGGAAGCAAGGGGGTGGGGGGGTGGCATTGCAAAGAGGTAAATGAGCAATATAAGGAAAAATACTTAAAGAACGAGCACTGCCCGGGGTTGACTAGGTTGGAGGTGTGATTTCTCCCTCACTGGCAGGCTGCAAGTCAAGTCTCGGAGCACATTGGTCCAGTACAATATGGGCAGGATTCTTTTTTGCGTAAGGCTTGAACTAGATGGCTCTGGATGTCCCTTCCAACTCTGCAATACTTGTCTTCTGTAGGGGGAATTAAAATGAGTTTGGGCACAGGTACAAACCTGGTTATGGCAATACTTTTTTAATTGTAGCAAGGCTTGGAAACAACGGGGATGATTATCACTTGGGAAATGGCTGAGCAAATGATAGTGAATGGAATGAAAAATCATTGCGCCCAAAGAAATGACGAAAGAGAAAGCTTCACAGAAAACTGCCGAGCCGCTTTGGAGGTGATAGAGAGTGAGGTGAGCCCCGCCAAGGGAACAGGTTAAACAAGCAGGAAGGCATTGTAGAGAAAACCATCTGGGCAGCACCGCGGATGGCCCAGGGCAAGGAGCAGTCGTGAGCCCGCAGCCCCGGCCACTAGGCTCCATGGGTCCTCCCTGCTCACGAGGAGGTGTACAGCCCGAGCGAGGTCCAGCAGCCGCCCGGACTTTCCGACACGTCACAGGTGTGGGTTTCTTCTGCTGGACTGTGTTCGTTTGCTGCAAGGGAAGGCTTTTAGTTTTTGCTTGGAGGATAGATGTTGGACAGTTTGGAGAGTGGTGATAGTGAGTTTAAAAAAAAAAGGAAAAGACATAACAAAGGGCCACTGACAAAAAAAAGATAGAAAAGAACAGAAGGGAAGTTGGAAAGGGGGCACAGACGAGCAAGAAAGTGTTGGTGCCCATCTTGATTTTAATACGCAGTTAAAAATAAACCAAGTAAATTCATGAATTTTCACATACAGGCCTCTTTGCTCTTTGCAGAAGAAAATTATCAAGTTGGTTGACATTTCTTGGGTTCATAATAAGAAAAGAAGCTTTCAAAAATGAGGCTGGGATTTTTTTACAGTAGCCACCAGCCTCTCTCTATCTTTGCTTAAAAGTGAAAACCTGGAGCTCAATGAGCAGGAGAATCGTCTCTTAGATTGAGAGATCCACGGGCCTTGAGAGTTTCTGACTTTGAGAAATGGGAAGAATGCGTCCCACCACTGATCTTGGGCAGCTGTGGTGCGCACCCAGGTACATCGCATCAGTTTCCTCATGCGTCAAAGGGAAATAAGCTTGCTTGTGTGGGAGGCCAGTCTTTGTGGGTGCTAGAGAAATACCACTTTAGTGTTACTGTCGCTATTACAAGTTAATTTATATTTCACATTAGTTAGGAGAGGCAGGATGAGTACAGTACATAGAAAACTGGCCACAGAGCCAGGAGACAATGGGTTCAAATTTTACCTCCAACAAATACTGGTTGTGTGACCCTGGAAAAGTCACTTACATTTTCAGTGCTGCAAGGCAACTCTACAAATGATAAAATGTTACAATTTGCAGAACGGATGGAAAACTATATTGATGTAGACTTTCTTCACTGTGGAGTTCCCTATACTAATTAAATAAGAATTTAAAAATTTAAAATAATATTTAAAATAACTAAAATTTTAAATAAATTTAAATAAAAACAAAAATTGAATTTTAAATAATTTTAAAATTAAATACATATTTTTAAATTACACATTTAGGTATATATGTATGCATATATGTATGTATACACATATACCCCCATATATGTATATATGTATATGTGTGTGTTTGTGCCTGTGTGTGTGCATAGCAGCCTGCCTGTCCGTCTGCCTGTACATATATGCCTTTTCCAAATCAAAGTGTTAAATGTAGGTTTCCCAACGGAGGTTAGAGGAATTGTGGTAAGTAAAATGAGGTCAGGGCATTCTAAATCGAGGACAGGAAAAGCCTCTGAAGCCATCTAGCCCAATTCCCTCACTAAGGACACTGAAGACACCGAGGCCACAGTGGGTTAAGTGACTTGGCCAAAGCCACATGTATGATCTTGGATCTCGTGGTGAAAGGGAAGTCCGAGGCCTCTCTGATTCAGCTTTTTTAATTTGAGAATTAAAGAAGCTGAGACCCAGAAAAGTTAAATGCCTTGCCCAGTGTCACAAGTCTTCCCAGCCCAGAGTCAGGGCTTTTTTCCCTCTAGCAGGCCACCTTGACTCTTTCCTCCTGAGACATCACATTGAATTAGTCTATCAATTTGATCAGGTTTCGGGATCTGCTTCCAAAGGAACTTCAGGGTTGTTTACAGGCCTGGCTGACTCATATGTATATATATATACACACACACACATATATATATATATACACACACACATATATATATATATACACACACACACACATATATATATATATATATATATATTATAGGTTCAGGGCAAATTGGGCTTCTCCTGAATGCAGTGGAGCATAGGGCAGAATTCAGGCATCAGCCTCTAACAGTTCATTATGAGGCCTTCCAAGTTATTATTGCTCAGGAAATTGGACTGAGCAAGTAAAGCTGCAGAACACCCGGTCTCCTAGCTGACGCACGCTCAAAGAGCTGGGGGCCCAAGGCCTGGGCTCGGAGGCAGACGGACAGGGAGACACAGTGGCTATTCCGTCTAGCTGGGGGACTTGGGCCCGCTCATTTCCCTTGTCAGCACCCCAGGTCTGGGTGTGTGCAACAGAATAGTGGCTACCACAGCACTGCAGGTCTTTGCCACAGAGAGTGCATATGATTTTGTGGATGTCTTGGGATTCTGGTTTCAGGTTCATCTCTTGGATAGGAGGAGGTCCCATCGAAATAGGGGTCAGGATCACTTGGGAGAAGAAATAGAAGCTGAAGCCCAGACCAACATCACATTTTCTTTGGACTCATAAAATTAGAATGGAAGGTGTGTCTTCACAACTGAAATAGGTTTAAAAAACAAACAAACAACACTTAGCAAGATTAAGCCAAGTCACTAAGAAAAGCATTGAGAGAACTCTGCCAATACAGGATGAATTTACTTCTTCTTTGCTTTTTTTAAAGCACTTCTGTGTACCCAGTGTGGACTCATTCTTCTTTAACACTGGCAGACTAGCATGTCCCTACTTAGGATTTATTTGCAGCCTGAACATTTCTTTCCCTGAATCTGCTTGGTTAAAGATGAAGTGTTGAGTAGAAGAAGCCCTGAGCTTCAGGAATCAGTGCAAGGAGAGTGGATTGCTCCCTTTTGTGCTTTCTTGATGCTGTCCTGCATTTTTGAATGAATTGGGTAGGAGGGTAATTGATCCAGGCATGAGGAAATTAAAGGATAAATTCAGAGTGCTCCTGTCACTTTCACTGTTCACATTTCCCTCCCATGCTTAGTCCCTAGGCTTCTGGGTGCATGTAGGGACAGCTGCTTTCATTTGCATGATTTGAGAGGTATCAATTGGATTCTTCCTGTCCTTGGCCATGGAGCAGACCTCACAATTCTCCAGATGGTCCAGCCTATCCATGTGATGTGTCATAGCCATTTTAGAAGGTTTTTATTCCCCTTTCTTTCTACAGAACATTGCTTCTTGAATCTTGTTTTCTGTCGTTGGAAAATCTGTCAACTAAAGGCTTTGAAATAATCCTCTAAACTCAAAGCATGGCTTTCCCTCCTGGGCTAGGTAGAAAATATCTGTGAAACATGAGCTGTCCAGTTCACTTGTCCTTCAAGATCCAAACCCTTTTTCCATGATGTTGCTTCTGTAATCTCTATAAGGGAAGCCATCCTTACTCTGTGAGTTACATTGAACTGAACCTTCCATGGTAAAGGTGGACAAAGAGTTCTTCTTGGTTTCCTGGCTGTTCTAGCTTCAAGGACCCAAAACAATACAGTAGAAAGAGTGAGAGTTAGATGTCCTGCGTTCAAATCCATCTCTGATGTTTATTACCTGTGGCCATTGATCAAGTCTCTTAACTCCCCTGTATCTCCATTTAAACCTGTCCTCAGCCACAGAACTGCTGATTTCAACCCAATTGCAACATGATGTTGGCCTCATCAAATTAATCAAATTAGATTGAATTTAACCATCCTCTATTCTAAGAACCCTTAGAAATAGAAATGATGAGATGACATTGTTGGTAGCATGTGTAGGGCTCCTTCCTTTATCAAGAAGCAAAGATGTGAGACTGTGGAAAGATGACGAATGTCTTTGATGGTTTCATCTGGACCCAACATTCCAAAGTCCAACATTCCAATGCAGAGCAGATTCTCATTTTGGATTCTTTGGGAATGAGGAAGAGTTGGGTCCGTGGCATACACAAAGGGAAGGATTTAGGCTAAAAGACTTGGAAGTTTGAATTTAGGGAACATTTTTTTTGTCATTCTGGTTTTGAGAAATCATATTTCAACCCCATCTTTATATGTGGTAGTTGTGTTGATCTGATTTTTCATATTTGGAGTTGCTTTGCCTTGGGGATTATGATTTGGCTTATGTTATGCTCCCATGTATGTAATGGTTAACTATTATGAAGGTGCTGGCCTATACTGCTTTACCTCACACTAATCAATCAGTCAATCTTC